CTGTTTGTTTTTCTGGTCATCTGTAGCCTGGATCGGACATACTGAAACATCTTGAAATGTTAGAGGGTTTTCAAAGATTGAAGTTTACTGTATTGCTGTACTTCAGGACAGGAAATTGCAACTCAAACAATTCTAAATTTCAGCTTCAAACGCCTCTCTTGGTCTCCTGGCTTCAGGAAAAGCCCAAATCCAAAGAGTCTGATTTTCCAAACATACTTCAAGACAGCAGGATCCCTGTAAGAATTGACAAAGCTGCCCAGACTTGCCCCATTTTTGTGACACAAGGCAAAGTGTTTTTCTGCTGCTTCATCCACTTCTGCAGTTTCAGAGTCAGTTCACTTAACTTCCCTGCATCTAATCTCAGCTTGGTAAAGTTTCACACCATTTCCCCTTCCTTTGCCCTGATGGTAGGGGTGTGAGTCTCACCCAGGGCACTTTTTCAAGGAAATAATCAATTCTAACAAACCTGTATGTTGTAAGAGATGAATGTGTTAGGTCTCAGCAAAGAGCAGAGTAATACAATAGTTCCAACAAAAAACTCTTTCAGCAAATAAATCCCAGTGATTGCTATTTTCTTGCCAAGCAGTTCTTAACACAAGTGGAAGATGCTGCACACAGCCCATATTGCAGCTCTGATCCACATGAAGAAGAGGACTGGTAGCATCCAGAAATGAGCCAACAGGCAGTAGGAACCACTGAAAATTAGTAATTAGTGCAATGGGTGGAGGTAGAGTTACACTGGCTGTAGATGCTTGTGGAACAGGTTGCCCAGAGAGGTGGTGGAATCCCCGTCCCTTAAAACATTCAAGCTTGGGTTTGAAGGTGCTCTGAGCAACCTGATCTCATTGAAGATCTTCCTGCTCACTGCATGGGGGTTTGACTAGATGACCTTTAAATGTCTCTTCCATCCTAAAACATTCTGTGATTCTATATGATTTTGCAAGAAGTACTGCAGAGCAGCATTTTCATGCATGCACAGAAGCAGACATAAATCCATTTGCAGTACAGATGCAAATTTCATAGTAGATAAAAGGAAAAAAAGAGTCATACGTGTTGGATAACTCAATTTCTGGGACTGTAAAATGCCCTAAAAAGGATTTAATTTACACAAGTGAAATAAACGCACTTAGCTACAATGAGAGCCCATCGCTGGCTGATAGTTCGTCATCACTTTGCCTTTCTGGTTTTCTCCCCAGTCAGGACGCCGCTGCCTGGTTTTTGACTGAGGGATTTTGCAGAGCAGAGGTTTGTGCCTGACAGAGCAACAGAGCTGTCAGCACTGAGCTGAGATGAGGGAAGTGTGGAGAAGCAGGGTCAGGTACAGGCTGGTGTGCCCTGGAGCGAGGAGAAAAAAAGACTCCGTATCACCTTAAATCACACAAGCCAAGGATGTCTGTGTCTCTCTGTCTTTGCCTTTTGCAAATCAGTGCACAGCACAGTTTGCTTTGCAGCTGCTGAGGTGCTGTGAAGCAGCCAGAATTCTCCGTGTGTTTTGGGTCAGCGAGGGGGTTTGATGTGTTTGAAAGGGCTCCCGGACCTACTTGGGGCTTCAACTCTGCTGCACTGAGTGAAGGTGCGTGTTTTGGGAGCACGAATTCTCCGTGTGTTTTGGGTCAGCGAGGGGTTTTGATGTGTTTGAAAGGGCTCCTGGATCTACTTGGGGCTTCAACTCTGCTGTGCTAAGTGAAGGTGCACGTTTTGGGAGCAAGGATTTGGGTCTGCCTCAACTATCTGCAGCAAAGGGCTGTCCCTGGAGAAGGGTGTGAGGATGCAGCTCCATGGCAGCTTAAGCTGCTAAATGCAGCAAGGTAATTGAGTGCACTCAGGAGCTGCTGAGCTGTAGCTGGAGGTGCCCAAAGTCATTCCCAGGGGAAAAGTGATGGAAGAAGCCTTTGCTTCCCAAAGAGCTATCTCTGGTCTTCTCATCCCACCACTGGGTTGTGTGAATTCCAACTGTGGTAACAGCTTCAGAGGTTTGTAAAAGACCCCCTGAGAACTGCAAAATCAGCTGCAGCTAAGGGTTTGCTTCCTGTTTGAACTTCTTCCATTTTCCAAATTGAAACACATCCTTCTGTCTAAGTGGGAGTGAGAGGATGGTGTTTGGCAGACTGATCCCACCCTTGGAGTGATGGTCATTTCTGTAGCTCTGGCAAATGTGATCTACAAAAAAAACGCCCAAACCCAAAAACCCCACTCACGTCGGCCTGCAGTGTTGTCCTTGTAGCCTGGCGATACCTGACGTGGACAAAGCACAGAGCAACTTCCCAGCAGCTGGAAGTTTTAGGGACTTACCTTATTTATATATAACTTGGGCTTTTTCAGCTTATAATGAGACCCCTTGCTGCAGGAGTGCTGCTCTGGAGCATAAAGCCCTTCCTGATATTTGCTAGTGGCTGCTGGGGTACTGGCTGGCTCCACGCACCAGCTGCTTAGGGGTTGGGGCACACACGCGTGCTCTCACTGTGCCTGACAACTTCACACTCCTATCTGCACCTACTTGCAAATATGGGAAGGAGAGGTGTTGACATTGCTGAGGGGCTAAAAAGAATGACAATATTTAAGCTCACAGCAGTACTGGACGGAGGAGAAGGGCTTGAGCTCTTCTGTAGAGCAGCTCTTGCAGCTCGAGGGTGGAGGCCACCAAGGAAACCTGCTCAGTGGCAGAAGACTTGAACCCATCACGCTTTGCCCGGCTTTTGCTTTCCATGCAATGCTGCAGCCTCTTTTCCCCATCACTGTTTGAAAGCATAGTAGTTGGTTTTCTAGCCCTACAGCTTTGGGTTCCCTCCTTGGGTGAGAAGTGTCAACATCTTCTCTAAGCGACCTCCCTCTGTGGGGGTGAGCTGGGTGGAGTGACCGCTGGAGCTATGGAAGTGCCTTTAGTTTATAGGCTTTTCTTATTTCTTTTTTTGCTTTGTTTTGTTTTTGTTTTAGTTTGTTTTAGATTTGTTTTTATGTCCGTATTAGTTTTATATTAGATCTCTGGGAATTGGCTCAAAATTATTAGTCCCGTTGGAAACTGTATACTTTATTTCTCCTAATGAAATTCTTTTACAGAATAGGCAATAGGCAGCAGGATGTTGGGCTACCCTTGGAAACTTCAGTTACTGCTTATATTCTGTACTGCTCCATTCCAGGAGACACTTGAATTTTCTTGCCTGTTTTCCAGAATTATTAGTACTGGCTATAGTTACTCAAATCTTTTGATTAGCTAGAGACTTAATAAAGCTGTTTATACCCTATTTTTTATGGATGACTTCAACTCTAGAAATTGCTTTACTAATTGATTTCAGGATGGATTTTCTTGTGGCTGAGGAATTAATGTCTGCAGTGGCTCTTACATGACAAATTCATTCCAAAAGCTGTGTTATGGTTGGACTTCACTCTTATTTTTTAAGGAAACAAATAGTATGCTTGGCATAACTAACCACAGTTGAGGTTTTTCTTTAAAAATATGGTTTTAGCATTGTTTAATTGTATTTTTGTAACTTTGTGTTGCTGCTATTTTTTTTTCCTAATGCTGAATTGTGTATGAACTAAATTAAACTGTGCGTAGCATAGATATAACATAGACTAGATATAAGGAAGGATTTTTTCTGATAAGCGTGGTGAAACACTGGCACGGCTTGCCCAGAGAGGTGATCGATACCTTGTCTCTGGAGACATTCAAGCTCAGAATGGATGGGGCTCTAAGCAACCTGATCTAGTAGAAGATGTCCCTGCTCACTGCAGAGGGGGTGACCTTTAAAGGTCCCTTCCAATCCAAACTGTTCGATGACTTTACAAATGGGTCTTGATGGTTTGCATATGCTTCGTAATTCATTGGCTGCTGTAGAAGGAAGGTGCTCTGACAGCTATCACCTCGTGTGTTATTCTGCCTTCCTTTGTATCTCTGCAGCAGCAATAACATTGGGAAATCCTTGATCTTGCAGGTTGTAGTGACCATACAAGATTGCTATTTTACTAGCATCCATTTGCCGACATCACAGCTCAAAGTGCACCTTGGCAGCCCATTCTTCTGTGGCTTTCCTCTTTCTTCCCTGCCTGCTGACACCTTTTCTGATGGTGTCTTTGCTTTTTCTGGAGTCACCGTGCAGGAATAAGAAGCTGCACATGCAGTCTACAAATATCCTTTAACACCGTGCAAAGTTACCCTGCTAGGTGGAATCTCAAAAAGTCCAAGTGCTGTGTTAGAGCTGTGCTCCCACCAGCTCAAAGACCTTCAGCTGGATCCGCAAAACAGCTCTACAGTGAGAGGCAGAAAGGACAGCATCTGATCTGAATGTTTGTGGTTGCATAGTCTCTTTGGATTTTAAATCTTCAAGTCCTTTGGGTCCATGATTTTAAACTCATCATGTGAAATGGATTTAGAAGAGGGAAGCTTTCCTGTCAGGCTTGTTTTGCAGGGGTTTTGGAAAACCTAAGGGAAGTTGTCTTGAGGTCAATGGGCCCTTTCCTGTTGCAGGGACTTGGAGGAGGCATAATGTGGCAGTGTCCTCCTCGCGACGGCTTCTTAGAGAACATCTGCAAGAAGGTCTTAAGCTTCCCAGGACTAACTCTGTTGATGCTTCCTGAGGTTCCTCTGGACACAGAAGACCCACGTGAAGGTCCCAGTCTGACACCCAACAAACATAAAACGGAGCCTTTGACATGTTTGCTGCTCATGCCTTGGTGCAAGGGAAATGCTCCCCTAGGAAAGGGAGAGAAGAACTGCAGTAACTGCCCTCAGCAGTAAATGTTTATCTCATTCTTCACATGAAATATTCCTATTTCCCACTCCTCAATGCATGTAGGGATTCAGACCTGCTATCTGAGAGAGATCTTTTATTTCTAAGACAGAAAATTATGCAAGGAAAAGAAAGATGTTTGATCATTGCTAGCTAGTCACTTTTCTGGTCTGATTAAAGTATATGTATTCATTCCTTCATTGCCTTGGCTTTTAACAAGAAGTCAGGAGATGATGGCACCAAAAATAGTATGCACTCTGTAAGAATATTTACCTGTGTATGTTGTATCTGTTAAGAGGAATTAAGAGAGTTAGACATTGATAGGACACAAGAAAGGAAGAGATCAGCCTCTTTATTCCGCTTTCAAATATACATGTTCTTAATTTGAAGTGCAGCTCTTGACGTAGCTCTTACATTATTTATTATTATTAGATACCAATGCCTTCTCAGCATATTTATTTAGTTAGATTACATGTCTGAAATTAAATACAGCCTCTTGTCAGCTTTAATGTTCTTCTGCCTATTCTTATAATTGTTATTGATAAGAGGTGACTTTCAAGTTAACAGAATTGTGGATTGATAAGGCATCCATAGCTATGTTCCCTGAGTGCTTTTTGGAAAGCTTAGCTCAAGGGCAAATCATGTGTCCAACAGGGGATGAGGATGGTGATGTTTGTGTCTGTGGTATGCTGAGCTAGAATCTAAAACAAACCCCACCCCAAATCTATACACTCGTGGACATTTGAAATCAGTAAGCGTGGCGGGTTTTGGGGGTGCACAGCGGGGTTCCTCCTGTGTTTATTTTTGAGTCGCCATCGGGTTTCTGCTCCTTTCGTTTCTGCTCTTCTCTCCTGACCTCTGATGCTCTTCTCCTCATTCTCAGGTAGTAGATCCGGTTGGCTTCTGGGTAGGTGACTTTGCAGAGGGGCATTTTGTAGATGGCTGGATTCTCTGAATTTATCAGTAAGAACAGAAGTGCAGAGAAGCAAAAAGGCCAGGTGCAGAGCGGCAGGCCAAGCTGGAAGGGGAAAGGACAGACAGATATATGTCTTTTCGTACCTTTTTTTTGTATGTTCCTTTTTGCTTAGTTCTGCCTGTTGCTAAATTCTTGCATTTGAGAAGCTGGGAGAGCCTGAGGACAGTGTGGCATAGGACGTGCCTTCCTGACCTCCCCCTCATGCAAGATCCCCCCATCTGGATCCAGAGGAGGATGCCCAGGTGCAGGCGGCTGCATGGTGGGGTCTAGGTGTGTGGTAGGTTCCTGCTGGTCACTGGAGGTCTGGGACTGTCCTCAATCTTGCTAATATTGCATCCAACCCCTAGTCCTGCCCTGTGACCCCATCTCCTGACCTGACTTGGGGTCACAAGGAGAAAAAGTAAATTTTTTTTTTTTCTTCCCTGATGCATCCCCAAAGCAGGAGAGATTAACAGAGCAGCCCATCTGCAGGAACCTACATGATACCGAGTGGATGCCAGATGAAAACATTTAATGCATGAAGCTGCTAGTTCTAAATTTTTTTTTTAGTATTTTAAGTTACTAAATCATTTTTATTAAAATACGATTTTACTTTAGTCTCTCAGATCTTAAAGAAGAAACAAAACTTGGCATTTCTGGGTTCACCTCTTTCTTGATCAGATAAGATGATTTTGTTTGTAAGAGAACAGTCTCCCCCCTCTCCTTTTTAGCTCTCATACTCAGATCAAACTTACATATCTGTGGATAGGGTGGAAGAAAGACCTTGTAAGAAGCAATGAAAAATTTAGACCGTTGGGAATTGTTCAAAAATATTGCTTGCAACGAAGGATTGCATTTCAAACCATATGCTGTTGCTGGAATTCGGATATACATGCAGACTCCTGCTGTGGATAACATGCTCCAAAGGTCTTTGAAATCTTATTATCAGCTGCAGAGTCTGCAAGTGCCCAATTCAGCTGCCAGAGAAGCTATATGAGACCTGCTACTGGCTGTAGCATTCTCATTTCAGCACTGTCAAAACTGACATGGAGAATTTTGAGAAATTTCCCTAATACTATATCATAACAAATCAAAATACAGTTAAAACAAACAAAAAAATGTTAAAAAAGTGCCCAGACTTACCACAGATAGGGCATTAGCAAGACCTGCTCCAGCGTAGGCACAAAATAATGCTGATAAAAGAAGACCAAAGACAGCTCAAGTTGAGGAAAATATTGTTCATCTCTCCAAAGAAATGATCATCCCAATGCACAGTAAGCTACCTGATGTTAGGATTAATGTCAGTATTCAACAATTAGTTAAAATGCTGCATCTGGCTGTGTGGACTATGTTTTGGTCCTACCTGCTCTGTAGAGGTGGGTGATGAATGAAGAACATGGTTTTGTCAAGAGCAAGTGATGATTTCTTTTTAATTTGCACAACCTAACCTATAGGAAGTAGGGGACTACAGAAATCCTCTGTCCAGTGGCTTCAAACTACAAGCAGGCAGCAGTGGTCCTCCTTGCCCCAGGATGCTGGAGGTGGCAAAACAGGAGCTCAAGTCAAGCATCCAAGAACAAAGTTAAGGAGGATAAAAGATACTGAGGAATCCAGAAACTGTGTTCAGCACAGAAAACCTCTGAAATGCAGATGATTGGAGGCTGGGTGAATCTTCACAGGAAATTCTTAAACAGGAAATTTGTTTTCTTAAAGTCTTCCCATGCTATCTGGTTTTGGCTATTGTTGGAGAAGGTGGCCTTTGGGAAGATGGATTTTAAACAGACCTTGTGCAACCCCCCTCCTCTCATGACACGTCTCCTCTAATGATACTTATGAAAAGGCTGCTCCTATAAATCTCTTGAGTTGCTAACATGTTAAACTTCTGCTCACGGCATAGCTTGTGCTCTTGCAGCTTACACATCCAAGCTCAACTCCGGTGCCACCACAAAAATAACTCTTGTATGGTACCTGCTTTTGCAGCAGAGCGAGGGTTGACTCCACACCTGTGCTGTTCGCAGCCTGCCTGGCTGCATTGATTTTTTTTTAATTTTTGGGTCTAAAAGATACTTACCGCAGGCAAGCGACAGCAAATGAGTCTGCCAGGTGAGGGCGTAGAACATGCCCCCGATGGCAATGCACGCCAGTGCGCAGTTGTAGTTGTGCAAGCCAAGGTAGATGCTGTCAAACGGCGTTGCAATGCTCAGCGCTGCAAGACAATAGGCAAGGCTGTGATTTCAGGTATGAGAGGTATCTGCAGGAGGAACCGGCGCTTGCTGGCAATCCGTCACCTCCTCCCTCGGACATCTAGATCAACTTGACTGTGCTCACACTTGCATGACAGGCACATGCAGAAAAAAGAATGAAATCAAATGAAGATCGTTATTTCTGAGCTACGCTAATGTGCCTAGGGTAGGAATTTCCCCCAGTCTTAAAGCTGTTTGGTTTTTTTTTCCAGGCAAAACGTTCTGAGTGTGAGGATCAGGTGGAGGATCCAGACAAAGTACAGGAGGACCTTCTCACCTGGATGCCTTCTTGCAGAAAGCTATGCTCACATGTGCTCTTTAAACCTGCAGGGTTTTGCATCTCCTAATGACCTTTGTGAGATGTATTCTGATGTGGTCACTCTGTTATTGCTGTGGAAATTCTCCACTGGGTGGGGAGCTGAGGGTCTGCCTCAAAGCTGACCTCACAGGTGGTTCTGCAGAGTTCTCAAAGGCTTCAGGAGTAACAGTAAAAAGAGCATAATATGTAGGGTATGTGTAGGTTACCTTCATATCGCTCTTAAGATTAATACATTTCCTCCTATAATGTTCTAATTTGTCTTCTATTTCATCACCATGCTTATCCACAGGTATTTACCGCTGACCTTTCTCTTCTAGATTAAATGTCAGACCTGTAAAAATCTTGCCAGGTGCTCTTAACCATACAAATTGTAGACAGTTTTTTTAAAAAACAGAAACATAAGGCAGCTCACATCTCAACCAGTGTGCTTCAGAGCACAGAGAACTTGTTGGATGACTGTCCTTTATCAAAGGTGGTTATTTCAGACTGCAATTACTCCGTATTTTTTATTACAATCAGTCACATAAGCGGCATGAATCTTGTCTAATTTCGAGGGTCATTTTCATTTCCCTTAACATTGTTTCTCTGGTTAATGGAGAGACAGGACATTTTGAGTGGCATTCGTTTAACTATTTTTACAAATCCGTAGCAGACTAGAACGAACTGCACCCTGGAAAAGTCTGTTTCTTTTCATTGACTGACCAGCCCTGAGGCAGACATCTGCTTGTGGTGGTATTTTAAAACACTTATGGTGTCCTGAAACTGTTTCTCTAGGTTTCTTTATCATTGTCTCCATGGGATTCATCACAGCCGATGACAGGAGGATTAAGCAACCAATTTGTTGCAAAGCTAATAACAAATTCTAAGTTTAAAGAAAATCTGCCTCTGTTCTTACCTTCACCATATTGCGTCACCTTCATTCAGCAAGACCTTCCAAATTTAGACACGGTTGCAAAACTTGTTGTCCCATGTACGTCTAAGCCTGGACAGAATCATGTACTGGCTTAGGTCAAGATACCTTAGTTACAAAAATTACTTTGGTAAATATTTCTTACCTGCAAACATCCCCACTGTTGATCCAATTGCAGAATGTAAACAAATAAGTGGGGAGGAGACAAGCAAAGCAACAAGGATGATGCCTCCAGTCCAGGGGTTTTCACAACCGTACACTTGACCAACACCGACTGGAACGGACTGCAAGAGCTGCAGCAGCCAGTAGAGAAGGGCATGTTATTGTATGTCTGTATTCAGAACGACACAGCAGTCATTTCACCAAAGCTATTTGTTAAAAAACGAAGGAAGGAACTTCTGAGTTGGACTTTTGGGTTAATGTGGGCACTTATGCCCTTCAAACCAGGGTCAGTTCCTTGTCTGGTCTGAACTTCATCAGTCCATGATGGACCCTGATTTCTCTTGGGATGGTGATGTGGTGGACAGAAGGGTGAGTGAAGGGCTTGTGTTGTTTTTTGTTTTTTGTGACTTTAGTGAAGGAGAAAAACTGTAACTTTCCTAGGCAGCGATACTATGGTGCAGCAGACTGATTTAAGTTTATTATATATTATATTAAGCATATAAGTTACTTTCATGCTGCTTTGGGAGGATGACCCTCCAGTGCTAAAGCTGAACAGAGAGGGCTGGGTATAAATGAGTTTCTGTCCCTTTAGGATAATGATGTTTCTTCTGCCTGTTGTCACTGACAGTTTTGCTGATGTGCTTTTAACCACAGCTGGACAGTAGGAATGCAAATCCAGATGTGCTTCTGTATGGACAGCACTCAAGCCTTGCTTCAGGGCAGTCCAGCTTCAGATGGAGTGAGAGGTTCAGCATCTCTGCTCCATTAGGTTCCATCAGCCTTTCTACTGGATCAGCCAGAACTGTCCCTGCGGTATTTATGGCACCGTCCTCTACAGACTGAACCGAGCCATATATTTCTGTGGATTGCTACGGGCTGTACATATCTTAGAGTCATTCTGACCCATGTGAAATTGTTTAACATGAGCTGAGCCCATTTACGCTCATCTTTTAAAAGGAAATACCATAAACTCATTGGAGTGAAGCTTACCAGTGGCACGTTGACTGCAGACCAAGTGATATTGGGCACTGATGCTACAGGCTTGATAAGGGGGGTAGGGAAGAAGCTGTTGTAGTGTCCTGTGGCTGCAAAGTACAGAGTCACGGCTATATTGAAGGGCAGAGTGAAAACAGGAAGGTCCCATTTACTGAAGATGGATCCCAAAGCACTGGACAGGATTGGGCTGAGAAGAGGGAAAAAAGGCGTAAGGCATTCGTAGCAATTATGGTGGTGAAAAAGCCTATCACTTCAGTCATAATCTCTGGTAAATGCAAGCCAGTGCCATTCCTTTTAGAATCGTTTAGTAGTGAATACCTTAATGTACTAATGTTTAGTAGTGAATACCTTAATGTACTAATATGTAAAGTCAGAAAAAAAGTGTCAGAATGCTGTTCATCTTTTTACAACAACTATCACATCCATTCATGGAGGGTATAAACTCCGCACCCTTCTCTCGGACCAGTTGGCTGATGTGCAAGTGCTCGGTTAGCTACTCTGAGGGCAAGGAGCCAGTGAGGAAATGCATCCAGTGCAGCATTTAGGCACAGGTGGAGGAAGGTGATTTGAGTTCATATTCTGCACAAAAATCTGATTAGAAACAGAATTTTGGAAATGCCATGTGAAGAACTTTGGAGAACTCTAGGTGGTGTAAAAAGACCCTGACTTGATGGGGCAAAAGGGAGATGGAGATTATGTCATTTGCTTTTTGTATGTTAAGTAGTTTGAAGGATACCACAAGATGGTTCTAGAAGAGAAATAAAGCAGAAGGAGTGATCAAAGAGTTTGGGAAATCTTCCACTAAGAAAGATGTAAAATATTTCCATTATTTTGGGGGAATGAGGAGTCCTTAGGATGTAAGGAGCCTAACAGAGTGTAAGCTGAAGTCACCACTGTAACTAAGCAGTGAAAAGTATGTTCCAGGTATGACCCAGACCTTGACTGATGTTCCTGCTTATGCCATGAGACTGGTGTTTCTGTGTGCCCCCCAGGTACCACCCAAAAGCATCTGGCATTGTTTGAAATATGAGTTTAGTTTTTTAAGAAACATGGCAGAATATATGTTCCATGTGAAATGTTTGGAGCTAAAATACATGCAAACCTTGAAACATCATGATTTTTCCCAAAGTTTTTGGCTGTAGAACCCAGGATATAAGCTTCACCAGCTCTCCGTTCCTCAGAACATTTCCAGACTGCCTTATTTCCACTTGAATGACTTTATGGGACCATACTGGCAAGGTAACATTAGTTTTTTTATGGGGTCCAGAAATCTTGTGAAAGAGAGTGAATGGCCAGGTCCTGTCCTTGATGGAAAAGGCCTGTGTTCTGCTGCTTCCAGCTGAGCTTTTCTGAGATAAGTGAGCTGAATAGCAATTATGATCTAGCTCCAGGTAGCAGTGGACATAGCACAGCTTACAGAAATTCGGTTTACATTTCCCAAGAAGCTGCATTTGAGTCCTAGAAGGTCATTAAGCTGGTTCTAATAAAAAAACCCCACACAAACTATGTGGCCTTTCAAAAGCAATAGCTTGTGTCCTGTTGTGTAGATACTATCAGTGGAAAAAAAATGCTTTGTTCTCCCTCTATAATCTCAGATGAAGCCTATTCTTATTTGATAAATTTGGTTCCCAGAGCAGTTTATAGATTTCCTTGCTTTTTGCTGTAGGGAAAAATAAAAATCAGCACTTCAGTGAAAAAAAGCGTCCTAATTTCCATGCTGAAATACAAAGCTTCTGCAAGTTATACATCTCATCAGAAAAAAAAAAAAAGAAACAATTAAATAAATGCTGACTTCTAAAGCTGAAATTCAAAGTATCAGTTGAAAAAATCACTGAAATGTCTAATTTTATTTTGGCTCTATCCTTGAGTCTTAAGAACTAAAGGAATGAAGAAAAGTTTGAACACAAAGCCTCAAGGAATTCTGGCAGATAAGACAAACTAAACATTCTTGCAGCACGTCTTGGGTTTTGAGTGATTATTATAAACTGACCTTTGCTGGGAATGACTGAAGAAATAAAATATGAAAAAAAGTTTGATCTTAAAAGCAGAGAAATGCAATAATGACTTGCATCTTATCGCTAACAGTGATTAAAATGTGACTCTTGAATTAATTCCAGTTAAGGCTGTTAAATAGATTCCGCAGAGCTGTTAGGGTCCATATTTAGAAATGGTAAATTTAATCCTGAAGGGATGTTGTCTGGCGTTCAGAGTTACTTGGAGGAATTAATTTTGCTCGTGACTTGTTGCATAGCTGAGAGGGGGGAAGACTGAATTCAGCCCGAGGGAGGGCATTGGGTTGGTGCAGCTCATGGGTGAGGAAGAACCGTTGCGGTGTTGGGCAGGGTGACATCCACTCTGGACGTGTCCTGCTGATGAGGGTTGGTTGCAGAGGCTTGGAGTGGAGCTGCTTTGTCTGTGTGCTATCATCAGCACTGTCTGTGCACTCAACCTCCTTCTAAGGTGCCTCAAAAGCTCTTGGGCATCATCAAAGAAAGCCACAGCGACCAGAGCTGCTGATGTAGCGGAATAGGCAGAGGGGACTTCAAATGTGTTTGAGCTGTATATAGCAAGACTGCCCATTATCTGAGAACTGTCCCTAGGAGAAGGAACGACACTTACCAGGCCATTGATATAACTGCCACAGGAGGAAGAAGCCACCAGTAGTAATCCCCTTTGTCAGAGAAGACGGCCATGAGCAGTCCCACCAAGATCCCGTTGTAGCCGTGCAACCCAGCTGCGATGGCTGATCTGTGATGGAAAGAGGTGTTTGCATGCTGTGCTGACGGTGGCTTGTCACAGGGATGTGCTGAAATGCAATTTATAAGTGTCCTCCTGATGAAAGGAGGGATGAAGAAGTGGTGAGGTTGCTGACATGCTGCATTCTGCTGGTGTGTGGAAGGGGAGATGATGATCGAAGGGGTTCCTTGTGACCCAAAAGACCTGGCTGTCAGAGACAGACAACTGTCTGCTCTCACAGATACAGCCAAATGTGGGGACAGGCCAGCTCTTCCTGGGCCACAGCTCTGTCCTCACCTAACTGCTTCCAAACCACCTGTTTCTGCTGTGGTTTCTGTTTTCCAAACCAAGTGGTCTCTGCTGTCACTATTGTACTCAAATGTAGGGCTATGACCCGTCAGCAGGTTCCTGGTATCATAACGACCAGTTTTCATGAAATGCCCTGACTTAAGGTACCACCTACCTGTCCTGACTGAGGGCCAGGGCAGTTAATGTTGACACGGTTATTCCAGTACAGCCTGTGAGCATGTACCACGGGCTCTGGATGAAAAGCCCTGCTAAAATGATCAGCCCGCTGAGAGGGTTGTTGACAAACATCACCTGAGAGGTCCCTCGCAAGATCCAGTCCACCAGCTGAACCATTAAGGGCTTACCTGGAGGAAACCGAATGAAAACTTGTCATTTCAGCGAAACACACTCATGCCTACCCGTCGCCTTCTGGCCACAGAACAAAGGCTATATATCGACAGGATATAAAACCAGTCTCTGATCTATTGCTGTCTGAGCACATTTTGCATCTGGCACTTGAAAATCTAACAGGGATGAACTGGGCACTGCTGTAAAGTTCGTGGAGGGATTCATAAAAAAGTGGTTTATTTATGGTGGTCAGTGAATAGTGTTTCTTGGATGGTAGATTGCTTAAGATTCTGCTATAAATTTAATCCCTTTTTCGTGTATAATTCATTTGCAAAGAGGGGCTTTGACAAAGACTGAAACTAGTTTGTACATGGATAGGGAAATATGAAAAGGAAACAATTTTTTGCTGTTTTAGAGACCCGGAATATGGAGGTGCACTGTGTACTGGAGATGAGTCAAACTGTCAACGGTGTCTAAAAAAGTATTTTGTGAACCTAAGAACCTAAATGAAGAGAATAGTTATGGTAGCTTGGACTGTACTCAAGGGAAAGAAGCCTTTCCAAAGGACAAAGAGCCACTGCTCTTAAGAGAAAACTACTGAACCCTGACAGAGCGAACAGGCACCAAGCTTGGGTACCCCAGGTGAGTGCAGGGGGGAGGTTAGATGTGTGTGGGGTGGAGGGCATCGATGTGCAGTGCTCCTCACGAACTCTGTGGGTAGAGAAGGGTCCAGTAGCACTACAATAACTTTTTGCTGTGGGCTTTTCTACTGCAAATTGACTTAAGGTCTTTTCCTGCCACACTTCTGGGAAAGGCATAACTATTTCTGTACTGCTGTGCATTATTAAACATGATGCAAGGAGAATAAATGAGAAAGAGTGGCTGCTTACATGTATGCTGTGTTCATGCAATATGTATATGCAGCTTTCATCTTCTTAAATATTTAAAATTAATTCAAGGAGTTTATATGATTGTTAATTAGACACAGCATAAAACGCCAGACTATTTTTTCGATTCTGGGAAACGACTTATTCCTAAAAGCTCCCCTCTCCACTACTACCTCCCTGTGTTATATTTACAGTCAAGGCTTAAATTTTGCTTTCTGTTAAAGAGAGGATCTCTGAAGGGCTGGGTGCCACTCTGCATCTCTTCAGCTTTCCTGGAAGAGCCCTCCCAAGAGGCTGGAGTGCAAGCTGAGGGGGGTGGTTTCACCAGCATTCCTCAGGCTGTGCATTGATGAGGAGCCAGGCAGTTACAACCAGGGAGGAATGAGTTCCTTAGAGAACAATAATCAGGCTTTTCTGGAATGATTACTACTAATAATTGGTGTTGAGCTATGAAATACATCAGCAATGCTCTTGGTTTTACACACAAGTATTAGCTGTAAGTATTCGAATATAACCAGTGGGCAGGGGCCAAAGCTTTTCAGGATACTGGATAAGAAAAGCTATCTATCAAGCATGGACCACTAGGGTAAAGAGCAAGCAGGAGGAGATGATCCCCCGTGGCTGGGGACTGCACTGTCACCCCGCTGAACTCCCTGCCTGGAGGCATCTCAGCCCACATTCTCCACCAGCGATAGCCATTGCACAACCTGGCCATACACAGCTGTCTCTCATTCTTCTTCTGTTGCTGGAGTTGTACTGCTAACGAACCTAGCCTTGACAGAGGACCCACAGTCTTACATAGCCTCCCAAGGCCCCAGATCCCTAATAATTCTGGGTAACACAGACCATCTGCTCATGTATTGTTCCTGTCTGGACAGTAAACCTTTGAGATGAGTACTTGCTTTGTGTTTTATGGCAACATAACAGCTGCAGTGCTTATTGCTCCCCCAAGGCTGGTAATACAAGAGCCTTTGCCCAGACAATTAAGAATCAAGTCCCCTCCGTCAGCCCACACACAGACGAGGAGACGGTCGCTGATCCAAAGCACTTACAAACAAGACCAAATCCCCAGCCCTGATGTGTGATTCTGGGCACCGGTGTGAGGAACGTGATGCTCATGACACATAACTGATTAAGTGTAAAAGATGTCTTTTGCCTGTGCTGAATTGTGCCTGCAGACATGGTAATGGCAAGAGAACCCCTTCCTCAGAATAAAATGGTTTGGGTTAAAAGGCCAGAAGTTTGCAGTGAGCTCTGACCACGCTGCCTCTTGCTCCTCTTCAGGGGATGAAATGGCCCTATGTCTTATGCCCTGCCACTGAAAGCACTGATGGCAATACAGATGTTCTCAGCTAGATCTTCCTGGCCAGACAGCTCCGTATACATCCCTCTGCTTACTTTTCATCCACTCTCCATATTCCTTCATTTCTCCTGTGAGGTAACCGAAAACTTGGTTGATCCGGTTTCCACTTCTCCCCAGCAGGTCCTGGGCTCTCGTCTTCTGCTCCGCGTAAAACTGCCTCTCACCAGGACGTTCAGCCACAACGATCTCTCCAAGATCCATGTCTTTTGGGTGGCAAGAAGAGGTAACTGCAAATCACAAAGCTTGTGTGTTAGAAAACCTTCTGGGTTGTGCCCTGGAAACTTTCTGCTGTACTTTAGACCCCCATGGTGACATATTTTTTGAAGATGAGATGTTTCATGGAGATGGGACCTGCCTAAATCACAGCTGGGAGTGGTGTGCACTGGTGCCTAGGACAGTGATGTCTCCTTCTGAGTATGATGACCAGTAAACGACCTGAGACAGGGTTGCAGGGAGCAAAAAGGACCTGACATAGGTGCCCTGCAGCTTCCCACCCTCACTCCAACTGCTGATGTAGCATGTGATAAGCTGCGGTTTGGACAGGCGGGATGTAACCTTTGCCAAGTGAGTGGTACCTGTGTGCTGTTGCAGGTACCAGGGAAGGAGTCTGCTGATGCTCGGCTGGCGGTGAGCTGGAGGGAAGCAATGGCAATTGGCAGTACAGCAGCAGACAGCAGGAGACACCAGAGGAGAGGCTGAAGCCGGTATTCCTTCTGATCTTTTTAAGCTGGTGTCTTCATATATCACAGCAAATCTATGGACTTTCCATACTCTTCATTCCACATCTGCCTTTCATCACGAGCAAACTGGGGTAGCATCAAAGTATTCCACTGAAATTAGCATCCACATGTGGCTTTGGACAAAGATAAGCACCTTGGCTCAGGGCTGTGAGCACTGCGGTTAGCAGGTGGGTATCCAGAAGGAATATGGGCTTATTAACCCCCCAATTACAGCTGCATGGCTCGGCTCATTAAAAACTCCATTAAGATATAAACCCTTAGGACAAAATATGTTGCGGGTTACAGCTGCAAAAACGCCACCCTGCTCTCCGAGGGAGCCCGCCCCGGGCTGGTCTGTAGTTTTGCTCTGATCATTTTTCCGAGCGGCGGAAAATTTCTGGGTGTTGCCCATGAGTGGACGGTGTCAGGAGGTCTCCCCCCATGTTTCGTGGAATATGGGCACCACCTTCTGGTGGGAACTTTTTTTTTTTTGGCGGGGGGGGCAGTGGAGGGGTGGGGGATAGCTCACACAGGCTGGCA